TACAATCCACAATTAAAGAAATTGGATCCAAGGACAGTCAGTGGATATTTCATTGGCTATGTAGAAAAGTCTAAAGGTTATAAATTTTATTGTCCATTACACACCTAGAATTGTTAAGGCCAGAAACGCAAAATTCATTGAGGGTGTTGACATTAATGGAAGTATTCCTAGAAAAATTGAGTGGGAGGAATCACGGAATTCGGATAATATACCCGTGAATAAAGATAAGATGGTTATCATTCATGATAATGTAGATGATATTCAAATACCACCACTACAAAAGGAACAAGTCAACATGGAGTCTACAACTCCAAACCCACAAAATATGCATAAGACTGTAGAACTAAAGAGATCCTCAAGGGTAAAAAAATCAGTTATTTCTTATGATTACTTCGTGTACCTATTGGTTTCTAACTTTGATGTTGGACATAAGAATGACCTTATCTCGTTTTCACATGCCATAAGTGAAGAAAATTCCACATTTTGTTATGAGGTCATGAAAGAAGAGATGGAATCCACTGCTAAAAATCAAGTTTGGAAATTGTTGAGTTACCTAAGGGGGTCAAAGTTGTTGGCAGTAAGTGGGTCTATAAGATCAATAAAGACTCAAATGATAATGTCGAACGATATAAAGTCAGACTTGCAACTAAAGGCTTCACTCAAAAAGAAGGCATTGACTATTACAATACTTTATCTCCAATTTCTTAAAAAGATTCATTTAGGGTTATCATGACATTAGTAGCTCATTTCGATTTAGAGCTACATTAAATGGATGTGAAAATAACCTTTTTAGATAGGGATCTTGACGAAGAAGTGTACATGAAATAACCTGAAGGATTTTGTTCTGATGAGGATAGTCACCTACTTTGCAAGCTAAAGAAATTCATACATGGACTAAAGTAGGCATCTCGTCAGTGGTATCTTAAGTTTCATAATATTATTACCTCATATAGTTTTTGAGGAGAATGTAGTGGATAATTGCATACACCTTAAGGTTAGTAAGAGTAAATATATTTTCTGAGTCCTATATGTTGATGACATTCTACGTGCAGCCAATGATTTGAGTTTGTTGTATAAAACTAAAGAATTTATTTCACAAAACTTTGAGATGAAGGATGTAGGTGAAGCCTCCTATGTCATAAGCATAGAGATTCATAGAGACAGGACTCAAAGAAAATTGGGCTTGTCTCACAAAGCCTATATTGAAAAGGTTTTGGAGAAATTCAAAATGAATGAATGCACAATTAATGCAGCTCCAATTGTAAAAGGTGACAAATTCAATTTGAGTTAGTGTTCAAAAAATGCTTTGGAAAGGTAACAAATGAATAGCATTCCCTATGTATCTGTCATTGGCAGTTTGATTCATGCACATGTTTGTGTAAGACCTGACATTGCATTTGCAGTGGGGATGTTTGGAAGGTACCAAAGTAATCCAAGAATGGAACATTGGAAGGAAAATATGAAAATTTGAGATATTTACAAGGAACCAAGGATTGTATGCTGACTTACAAGCATGTAGACTATCTTGAAGCAGTTGGATATTCGGACTCGAATTTGCAGGTTGTTAAGAATCTAGAAAATCCACTTCAGGATATGTTTTCATGCTAGCAGGAGGTGCTATATCGTGGAAAAGTGTCAAACAGACGATAGTTGCATTGTCTACTATGGAAGTAGAGTTTATAGCATGCTTTGAAGCAACATTACAAGCAAAATGGTTGATAAATTTTATCACAGGGCTCCAGATTGTGGATTCTATATCCAAATCATTAAGACTTTGCTGTGATAATTCGGCAGTTGTTTTCTTTTCTAAGAATAATAAAAGTGGAAGCCGAACAAACATATTGACATTAAGTATTTTATTGTCAAATAAAGAGTCGAGAAACAAGAAGTATCTATTAGGAATATTAATACAGATCTGATGTTAACAGATCCTATGACTAAAGGGCTCTCAATTAAGACGTGTTTGAAACATGTAGAGAACATGAGATTAGTTGGCTCATTGTATGTTTGACTTCATGGTTTGTAAATATTTGATCATGATTAATGCAAACTATAGCTATTTTGTGCACATAATGTATTGTATGTGATATACGATCCATTGAGATTAGTATGTAGTCCATTAGAACTATAGGACCCGAAATGACTTGTAAGAAGTCATTTATGAGTTACACCACATAAAGTTCTGAGAAGACGAAGCATTGTAATACAAGGAAAGGAGTGTTCGTTTAAAAGAGCACAACCACTTTGATTTGTGCATTATTTTTCTCGATAAAGTTCGGGTAGTTATTTAATTGTATGACCATATTCAATATCAAATGTTGGTTACCCAAATTGTCTAATGTATCATGTGTGTCAAGTGGGAGAATGTTGGACTTTAAGTCTAATTAGTATTGGACTCTATCTCTAATTAGAGACTTAAGATGGACCACATGCCATGTCATCTTTTTAATAAATAAATATCATTAGATGGAGTGACCATCATGGAGCAGTTCAAAACAGTTGTAACTTCTTGATGGAAGGACGTTACTTGTAGTTTCTCTATTGAATAAGGGTTCCTAACCTATATATATTGTCATGCATGTGATTTTCCATTAAGTCGTGGGTATTCAGATATTATATATGTAGGTAGGAAACTCTTGTCTCACATACTTCAATACAGTACCTGTTTGTGAGATTGTTCTTGAGTGTTGAAGTCAAGATTGTGATACAGATTCATGCTTGTTGGGGTCGTTGGGTTCGATGATTATTCTCTCTATAGAGAATTTGAATGTCTTGTTCTCGAATTTAAATATCAATGATAGGAGATAAGTATTCAATTCTACTATGCAAAATAGAAAAATTAAATTCTTCAATAAAGTTATCATGTGAAACATGCGTACATGTAAGTAATAGGTGAGGTTGCCTAAGCAAGGCATGAACATTGAGCCTTTCTTTTATAAGAGTTATAGATATAAAAAAAGGTGTTAACTAGGGATACAACTCGGTCGGGTTAAGAGGTCAACCCTAGCCCAACCCTAGATGTATAATTTTCAATCCTAGCCCTACCTCAACCCGAGTTATTCAACTCGAGTACTGTCTGAGTTTAATTTGGGCAGGCTTGGGTTGAATTCGGGTTACTTAATTCGGGCTAATTTAGGGTGAAAATTCGAATTGGGCTCGGGTTACTTAATTTGGGTTGATAAAAGAAGGAGAAGTGAAGAGTAAGAGAGGTCGGATGAGAGTCTGAGATGACTCAGAAGAGTGACAATTGAGAGAGGGAGGGGTGACGAGTGAGAGAGGGAGGCTGAGAGTCTGCGATCAGATGAGAGATGAGTGACAAGCTATGAAGCATGGATACTTCAAAAAGGGCAAGGTATCGGTATTGGATATTTCCCGGATACGGATACGCTTTCGATACGATCGGATATGTATCTAATACGGTTGAGAAGTGTCCTAAAATTAAAAAAATAAATTTGATTTTAGATACGGCCATATACGTCTTGGATACGAATGAGATACACATAAGGATACGACGGTGTATTATTTGAATTTTTAAAAAAATATAGGGGCAGAAGATCAAATATGTTTAGACCCTTATTTGCTAAAAAAAAAATGATAAAACCCCAACTCAGTTGATAGCCCCCCCAACTCAATCGACGATCGACTAACTCCCTCTTTCTCGCTCTCACTGACAATCGACTAACTATATTTGACGTTGATCGACGACGGGTATCTCCTATTTCACCTCCAACAACTTGTATTGGACCCCGATTAGCCTAACTCAATCGACAGGGGCCCTATCTCTCTGTGTCCAAGTACAGCGGGTAAGCTCTCTCTCTCTCTCTCTCTCTCTCTTTTTCTGCTTGTCTATTGTCTCTTTTGCCTTTTATCAGTGATTAACACTCCTTTTGAGCCTTGAATTAGGGTTTGCAATTAAGGGTTTTTTTTGGGAGGCCTTGAATTAGGTTTTTTTTTGGAGCAATTTGGAGAACAATCTATACATATATAGATATACAATAAGATAATGTTTGATTCAAAAAATTAGATGTCTGGTTCAAAAAATTACATGTTTTATTGTATACATAATGCCTGGTTTATATATACTGATTCCAAGTTTTTTATATGCATAATGCCTGGTTCAAAAAATTAGATGCACAATTAGATGGATGTCCTTGAATTTTATTGCCACTAAATTTTATTGCATTAACAAGAGGGGACTGTTTTAGTGCTTTACTTGTAATAGGATAGTATTCCAAATTGCAAGTTTTTTGTTGCTTGACTTGTAATTGGATGATTTCTTTTGTTTAAGCATGGACTTGATATTATGCAATATGTATGTGATATAGAATGTATGATTTATGAATGATAGAATGGTTATTATTATTATATATCTTTGGTAGATGTGTGATTTACTTTATAAATCATAATTATTAAATTGAATATAATAATAAAAATTTTAAAAATATATATTTTATAAACGTATTCTCGCCGTACCCGTATTTTATTTTTTAAAATTTTGTCGTATCGCCGTATCTGTATTATAACGTATTCGTATTTCGTATTCGTACTTTTCAAGTGACAAGTGAGATAGGGATTTGAGAGTGATAGAGGCATAGGAGTGAAGACTTGAAGTGAAGATAAATACAAACCTTAATTAAATATATTAATATATTTATGTATATTCGGGTTCAATCCGACAGCCGAGGTCTCAACCTGAGACTTGTCTGAATTCAATTTGGATTAAGTTTTTTTTTTCAGGTCCAACTCAAATATTAAAAATTCTAACCCAACCGTTGTATTTTTTGGTTTGGACTTGAATTGAATTCGAATTAGCTCGCCCAAATTATACCCCTAGTATTAACCTGACATCATTGGATGAATCCGAATCCCTTATTTAAAACTTTGACCCGGCTGATGCCAATCCTTATCCTAAAGTTAACTTGACCTAGCTTTACCCTTAACGGGTCCGTCACCGACTCGGACTACAATTAAAACGGTCGAGATGAAGAAGCCTCGATGATCCGACGGCTTATATTTCTCCAGATACTCGCATATAACCACCGCAAACCCTAACGACTCACCCTTTTCACTTCATTTGCGGCTCTCACACTCTCCACAGAGTTCCTAGGGTTTGTCATATTCTTGTTCTTCTTCAACGTGGTTTCTTCAGAGCGAAGATGGTGAGCTTATCAACTTTCTCTTATTTGTTATTCCATGCTTGTTCTTTTAATTTGTCCATCTAATTTTACGTTAAACTATTTGATTGGTGTTTGCTATATGTATATTTCTGATGTTTGTTTAAGATTTTTGTTTTTGTGTATGAATTAGGTTCTCTCTAACGATATTGATTTGCTAAACCCTCCGGTCGACCTTGAGAAGAAGAAGCACAAGCTCAAGCGTCTGGTGCAGTCGCCCAACTCCTTCTTCATGGTGTGTATTCAAGTTTCCTACGCATATGAGCACATACATGCGACTAATTATATTTTTTCATTTGATCTTTTGGTCCTTTAGTTTTCCAATGAAAAGATTTGTTCATGAGACCAAGTAAATTTTACTAATTGATTGGTTGTTTTGATAGGACGTGAAGTGCCAGGGTTGCTTCAACATGTAAGTTCTTCAATTTCATTTACTTGTATTAATTTTGTGCCTGTTGGTGCTAGTATTTGTGGTAATTTATTTGAATGAAATGCTATATATGCAGAACCACTGTTTTCAGTCACTCGCAAACGGTTGTGGTATGTGGGAACTGCCAGACTGTGTTATGCCAGCCAACAGGTGGGCGTGCTAGACTTACAGAGGGGTGTTCCTTCAGGAGGAAGGGAGACTAATGGTGGTGATGATGGTGATAGATTTTGCCCCTTGTTGGTAAATGCTAGTCGAGTTGGTTTGGTTTGGTTTGGTTGCAACCAAGGAATGAGGCGGTTATGTGTTAACTAATGTTTTTATGCTTTAATATGTAACCATATTCTTGATATTACCAAAGTTTTGGACCTGTATGTGACAATGTATGATTTTCTCATCTAGTTTTTGTTTGTTGGAATGAAATTCCTTTTGTTTGGCTCATACATCTTCTCCCATTTTAACCTTCCCCAGGCCTCCTTGCCTGAGTTTTGGATGTTGCTTCTCTTTCATTGCCACCTTAAAAAAAAGGCAAAGCTATTTATGTCTTTTATATGTGTGTTTTGTTTGGGGGGACGGAGGGGGGGGGGGGGGGGGGGAGGTGTGGGTGGAAATAGGTTTTTGGTTGGTCTTGGGCTTGATTTCCTCCCTATGAAGACTTGTATTTGTCAACTTCCCCCCAATTGGCAATTTGTTTTAGGATTTTTTCATTGGTAGTATGAAAAAAAATATTCAGTGGGAAAACATGGTCATTAGATGCTAAAGTTAAAGCTAAGGAACATCCAACCATGACCTTGCAAATTTGACCGGGAATGTGGTCATCGAGTGATGGAGATACATGACACTGTTGTACAAGCAAGATGATGAGATTGTGAGGTTCATGCAAAATGTGGTAGCCATGCCATGTTATGTGTTTATGGCCTGTAGTAAAACAAGGTGATATGCTTGATGACTGTGAACTCATGTAGCAGAGTTCTCATCATTATTAATGAGAGAATATGAATTAATTGGGCAATGCATTTCATTAAAGGTTGCGATTGTGTTGTGGATGTTGGGATGGTGTAGTTAGACATGTGAACTGAAGGATAGCTCTGAGTTTGGTCTTGAAATGTTCAATTTTACTATGAATAGTTTTTGTTGATTAGATGTACTATAGGAGTTTTGATTGGTAGTTTCTTACAAGTTGTTCTATATGATGATGTGAGGTTATGAAAGATTGCATGTACATCTTGAAGACGCATGTAGCAAGAATTCTGCAGTCTGTTATATTTATAGCCAACTATGAGTTAATTTTGGCCAAATGAATTGTGGTTATTCTTCTCTATTTGGTATCATGGAAAGGCTTTGTATTTGAGGCTAATGTCAATGCATGATCCTGTCCAACGGAGTACTCTGTTATTGGTTCTTTAAGTTCATTGATTGGCATCATCATAAATGGTTTGCTATTGGGTGAATGAGCAGCATCTATTTTTCTTGACTGCTGGGAAACATGTTGGATCAGCCTGAACAACCGCGGCCAGCATGCATCGTTTTATCTTTTCAGTTCTTGTTGATTGTCTAAGAACAATCAATTCACCTATTTTAATGGATATTCCATCTTACATGTAACTTGGTGGAAGTCGACGCCCTATTTTGCTGGAAAGAGTGTAATAATAACAAGTAACTGAATGATATTTCAGTTCATTGCTTATTCATACAAGTAATAATAACAGAAACACAAGTTTTCTTATTTGGATATGGAGGAGTCATTTTTCAGTAGGCTAATTACTGTCATTATTGCCTCAACTCAACCATTTGGGGAAAGGAACAGGGCAATGTGGTCTACAATGAGTAGAAGATGATGACTATTACTTTTGGGATCCACTCTCTACCGCAACCAGTGCTTGCTGTTGTTGCTGCTCTTCTTCTTCACCCTTTTCTGCTACCTCTTCTTCAACTTTTGATTCTGAGTGTTGTCGATAGTATCGAATTATTACAATAGATATGAATGCTGCACAAAACCAATACAAAACAATATTGTAAAATTTGTAATCAGCAAGATTAATGTATCTTGGCAAAGTTGTGTAAAAACTTTTTAAAGTATCTTTCCTTCTTTTTTGCTCAACGATTTTTTTGAATAAAAGTTCTTAAAAATAATAGTGGACGTTATATTTCATTATTATTTTGCAAAGTGATCTATATACATCTTAATATATATAAGCAATACACTTATATGCATGCATGTATATCTATATAATAAGATAGCTAGGTGTTTAAACTTATGGGGGGTATATTTTTCCCCCCAAATTTCACACACTTTCCCTCTCAAATTTCACAAACCCAACACAAATATTCCACAGCACATAATTACACATACTCCAGTACACACTCACTACACATATACACTCCAGTTGTACACACACATGCTAATACACATATAGTGTCATAGTTTAATATTTAGTGACTTCAGTCACGGAGTATCGCTAGTACTCTTATATAGGTGATCAAGCTTGAAGGATGGAGGTCTGAGAGAGAGAGAGAGAGAGAGAGAGAAGTTGCCCATTATATGGTACTTAAAAAAACATATTATAAAAACGTCATCGAACAGTACCTAACTTAGGTGTATTGAGCTATTTTATCTAGAAAGACAAAACGAGAAACAAAAAATGCCTAGTCCTTGTATGTCTCTCTGTATAACTTACCCGCAAAAATACGAGTTTTGATGGCAGTTAGATTCCAAAGGGCTGTGACTGCTGATGCTGCCACAATCTTCTTGTGAGAGCAAGCTCCCCATGCTTCCAGCACCCGCCATTTCAAACACTCGACTGCTCAGGGAAAAAGGCATTTCTTTCATTCAAGGCACCCAAGATTGATGCAGACCAAATACATAGAAATCACATATTTAGAGTTTTTTGTACCTTTGTTTTCTATCAGATCACAGTAGCAGGAGTATAATTTTGGGCCAGTAAAGCTGATAAAAAATCCTATCATTTTAACAGAAAATAGCTTTCAATATTTTTGAATAATAATTGAAATAAAGCAAAAAATAAAAAATAAAATTTCTGTAGTACCCTTTTTTTTTTTTGGGGGGGGGGGGGGGGGGGAGTAGGGTGAGCTTACCAAATGCACAAAGCCTCCACAGGGTTATGAGATGGCCATACTCAGCTCCTAGAAGCAGGAATGGTGCTACCTGACAACCACAACAAAGGGGAAGTTTGAGAATTTCAGCATTTCTAAGCATTGGGTTGAAGAAAAAGTCAGTAAGAGCATGGAAATACTTTAAGGGTCCTTGTTGGTTCCCCTGAAAACAAGTCTCTTGTCTTTGAAATTGCAAGATTTGCGGCTGGAAGTATGACTCTAGCACCTCTCAAGATGTCATCTTCTTTCAACTTAAAATCACGCTTGTTTTCAATGTTATTCCTGTAAATTTAACTACTAAGCTAGTTATAAAACAGAAAAATAAAGTTAAACTTAACAAGGCATTGAAGAAATGGTGATATACCTTTGACGGATTGAATTTGAGAAGAATGACACACCCAAAAAAAGGAGTCCCAACTGAGAAATCGCTGAGAAAATGCTGTAAACATGATTTTGTGGACTTCTTAGATATCTTAAAACGAAATCGAAATTATCGAGTAGGAGAGAGAAAATTCGTACATACCTAAAATTAACTCCTTTGGCAAAACAAGAAGATAGGAAACAGAGTGACCCAAAACCAAACCAAAGGCTTGATTTTGCAACATCTTTCCACATAATCAGATCAGTTATCAGCTGCCCCATTTGGTCAAGATTATACTCATAACCATCTTGTGCTTCTAAGTCATATAATCACACCCAAATAAGCACAAATCAATCAAGAAAATCTCAAAAAAAATGTATATAAATCAAGAAAATATACTTCAGTGAAATAAAAGATCAGAACAGAGACATACTTGGAGATGGAATTGAAAGTACCAAGCTCAGTTTTTCCTTCTTGGACCGACCACTATGCCTTCTTTTCCTAGCCTTACCCATCTCTTCCACCATTCCCAAATCCTTCTCTTCCCTTATCTCATGCTCCAACTTTTTCCTCGATCTCCGACCATTCCTCGGAGAAGCACAACCCACCAAACCCATTGCAGCATTTCTGTTCTTGCATTTCTTACGTGCCCCATTTGGCTCAACGGCCTCTTCAGCCATTTCAACCCTCTCCGAGAGACGGGTCTTTGATCTTCTGAGAGGAGAAGGCGAAAGGAGCAAAAGCTCGTGAAGAGGAAGAGCATTGTGAGGTTTTGGAGAGACAGTAGAAGAGGGTGAAAATATGGCCATTTTTGGTGAAGAAGGGACCACATCAAGAGAGAGAGGAGGGGTTCCTTCACTTACTTCAATAAGATGGCGGATTCGAGAAAGCCGAGAGGCCGATTTGGTTCCGATTCGAGGGTCAGAACGATGAGAAGGAGGTGTTGAATCCATGGATGACCTGATTTTGTCCTTAGATTTGGCAATTGTTTTTTTTTTTTGTAAGTTTTGATTGAGAGAAGAAGGGAAGAAAGACGCTGGTATAAACAGGATACTACTCGGTTCTAATATGGGTCTAAAGCAAGCAGAGCCGTTGGAACGAGAGAGCCAGACAGGATTTTTGAATTTTTAACGGCGGTGGTTGTGGGTCCGTGACTGTGAGACATAATACAACGGTAAGAAAGCTAAAGGCAAATCCGTTGTTGTTGTATTTGACTTTGGTGGTTTTAGTGGGGTCGCATACACTTTTGGAAATTGAATTTAGTTCCCATCATTTTTAAGTAGTTGGATACGGTACAGCCACAGAGCCGTTTTTTACAATTATGGTACTTAAAAAAAATAATAAAAATAATTATTATAACAATGATAAAAATATTTATAAATACGATAAAAAAACTCACAAATATGATAAATTATCTATAAAAATAATAAAAATAATTATTATAAATATGATCAAAATACCCTGAATGGTAGTAAAAATACTCACAACAGTGGTAAATCAACCACAAAAATGTTAAATTTTTTTGTTGTAAAATGACCCACAAAAATTATAAAAATATTATTTAAATAAGTAAATTTTAGAAATATAGTACCAAAATTTTTTTGGCAGTAAATTAGTCAAATCCCATTTTTAAAATTTGGGTAATGCCTTCGTTTTGAAAAATACTATTTGTACCTAAAATTTTAAAGCTAATTTATTGATCTAATCAATCACAATAATTGAATTGATAATAAATTTTAATAAATATTAGAATTTACAGTTAAATCAATGACATTGACGGATAAGATAAACAAATCATATCAACATTTTACGTCCAAATAATATTGCTATTTTTTATGGGTAAATAAATTGTGGTAATGTCAGTTAAATTAATAATTTTTATTTCTTTATTTTGCATTCCTTTTTGGGTTTCATTGAGTTTTAATAGAAATTCATTAACGAGTCCAACCAATTCGACAATGAATTAATTAAGCTTAATCAAAATTGTTACTTAGTGGAACTTGTCATATAGAATGAGAAAAGAGAACCAAGCTTTTTTGCTTTTTAGTTCTTGTAAAAGCTCGAGGGTTCAAGTATTATGACTTGAGATGTGACTCGACTCGTTTTAATATTATTCTTACTTAATAGTAGTTTTTTGCGACTTAATTAGAGTTCAATTTTAACCAAGTTCTGATACACTATTTACTTGGTAAAAACGATTTCATGTATAGATTAACATTTGATTGGTACTATCCTGCATATCACAAAATTAGAAATTACCAACTCTTTTGCTTTGGATGAGTTTGGATGCAGGGTATTTATTTTGTCTGATAACGAAGATCTCACCAAGTAGAACTTATTCTTACACTGAAAGAGCTATTTCAGAAGAAGACACTTCAATGGTTTTTCACTTATATAACACTTCAGTCTCATATCAAAACATGGGAATAACATCAAGAGTATAAACCCACACTTTATTCCAAACTTCTATCCAGACATAAATAGGTATGGAATATGATTATAAAATTGACTGTGTAATCTGATCGGAAGAGATTGGATTGGACATATAATCCAGTTTAATCCAATTTAAAACTTGAACCCAAATATACAACATAAGGGCTAAACTTACTCATCAAATTCACCAAATAAATTTAAAGTGGTCACTAAATTAGCAACAAGTCTCTTATGGTATGTTATTTATTGTTAATCTAATGACAACAATAGATCAAACTGTGTAATCTAATCGGTAGAGATTGGATTGGACATGTAGTCTAACTTAATCAAATTTAATACTAGAACACAAATACACCATTAAAGTAAGGTTGCTTGAACTAAATTTACTAATCACATTCACCAAATAAATCTATTTTGGGCAACAAGTCTCAATATGGTATGGAATTTGTTGCTAATCTAATCACACCAATAGATTTGATTATCAAATTTGATCTATAATTTGTTAGAAGCAAAACTAATGGCTTCCTATTCAATATATGCATATAAAAGATTTTTTAACTTTCAAAAATACCCCCATATCCCTCCTTAAGTTTTTTAAAAGGGAAAAATACCAATAAGTATTACTTTTCCCCACAAAAATCAATCAAGTCCTATCATTTTTATTTTATATCAATGAAGTCCTATTCTTGATATTTTATTTCAGTGAAGTTCTAAATTCCATTATATTTCAATTTTATCCTTATTCTTTAGTTACTAAAACTCTTTCATTCTTTTGCATTCTTAAAACCAATTAAGAGAATAAAAATTTCTTACTTACAAAATTAACATCGAAACTCCATAAAAAAAAAACCCTAGTTAACATAAACTTCATGGTAAGACTCAAAGAAAACTCACTTTTTCTTATTTTTTTATCTTATTAGGGTACCTAACCCTAAAAATTGAGACAATATTTGCTGATTATTTAATAAAATAAGAAAGGTTAAAAAAAATTATATCGATAATATTTGTCGATTAATTTCATTTTAATGTCGTTATTGATTCAAACACAACAACTAAAATAAATCTCTAACTTAATCATTTTAAATCCAATATAAATTAATAAAATATGATTTTAGTAGGAATTAACTTAAATTAATATTAATGTAGAATCTGTAATATTCTATTAATTGATTCTAAGAATACAAAAGAATGATAGAGTTTTGGTAATTAAAGGGTAAAGATAAAATTGGAATATAACGGAATTAGGAGTAATTGAAATAAAATATTAAAAATAGGACTTCATTGATATAAAACAAAAATAATAGGAGTTAATGAATATTTATAAGAAAAAAATAATATTTATTGATATTTTCCTTTTTTAAAATCCTATATCTACTATACAGGTTGCGTAATTCAATTAGTGTATTCAAAAAAACCAAGTAGCCTTTGATACCAAATTGAAGATATTAATCACATGAGTTTGTGTTTCTCATTGAGACATATGTGTATAAGTCCTATGACCAAATGAAAATGAAAGAAAGTTGTTTTCGACACCAAAACAATTCTCATTGCCTTTCTTTTATCCCTGGGAACTATACTCGCGAACTAAGCTAAAATGGTATGTTTCAAATCTTTCTCCCTTCGTTGGCTCTTTATCTTCAGCTTCAATTACAGAGCATTTTGCTTCCCGACGAATTGAGAAGTTTTACTCAAGCTGGTTTCATATATATGACATATATTATAATAATACATTATTAATTAATATTTATGGTTGGATCACGTGAAAATAATATTTATGATAATTATTTATTCTTAGTCATCGCACTATGTAATGAAAGAATGAGGGAATAAGTGAAATATGACATTTGTCATAAATTAATTTTACGGTGCCAAATAAGAATATAATTTTAGATTTTTAAATTTTATGATTCAAACTCATTTTTTGCAATTCTATCATATAAAAGCCGACTTGATAGGGTCTATATACGTTAAATTGTCATTAATGATAACTTATTTGATTATTTAATTGTATAAATTTTTGGGTTATCACAAATTATATTTTGAAATATCTCTCGAATCTCAATTTACACACCCTCAACGATAAAAAATCTCAATTTGTACCCTTAAAGGTATAAATCTGTATCAATGTGCACTTGAAGCTAACAGGTGTAAATTTGCAATCTAAAACTAAATAAGTAAATTACACCTAGACCTCTCCAGATTTGTCACTTAATCACTAGACCCCTTCACATTTAGAATTACGTCTAACGTTTGTGCGCGTGTAATACGTAACCCCTGTCGTCAATATCCATTAATGTAAACATTTAAAAACATGATGTCATCCTAATAAACAACTATAATTTTCATACTACCTTTTATTTTGTGCGTCTATTCTACTCTAAAATTCAAAATTAAGCTTATCCTTTGAATGCCTAATACAATGCAAGTATTATATAATATTCAAGAGTATTGGTATTTGATGGGGTCTTGGAAACAATGGCCCAAGCCCGATTAACGAATTACTATCTGGATCAGTGAGTTCGATCAGATGATTAGTTGATTTGTAAGTAATGAAAGGCCCAAAAAATAAGTGGTTCACCTTAGCTAAAGGCCAAAGCTACATCCACTGTAATGGAGTCTCTTGCTCCTTAAAGTCGTGTATTAGAATCAGGTGAGTATATCAGCATCGTCGGCACTACGCCTTTACAAGAGCTTAAGCATTGTTTCTTATGTATCTAGGGCAGGGGAATCTCTTGGGGGAAAGAATATCCTTTTTCATAGGTTTACACTGTTCTATTTATACTAATTCTTCTTAGGGTTCCTGGTGGCTCCTTTTACCTTTTTGCTCATCCTGTGGGGACCTCCCATCCTTGTCCTACAAAAGCTTCTGTTAGCCGACGCTATTGTGCCTACGATCTCTGGATTGTTACGCGTCACCATCCTCTGCGCCCTGGAGGGTGTAACTGCCATAGGTTTTAGAGATGGTCCCCTTGTTTTTTGGACGCGTGGCATGACGGGATGCTTCCAGGGCAAAGATTCAACTCGTCTTTCTCGGATGGTCCTTCGATTGGTACTGGACTGGGCCGGGGCTTGACTACTGGCCCTCTGGAGTCATTGGGCTTTTACTCTTGTTGCTCCCGATGTGGGCTAACCAGAGGCACCTTTTTGGGCTAATAAGCCCTGCCTTTAGATTCTCAAGGTGTATTGGGCTCATAGGCCGTGGCGGCCCATTCCCAAAATTCTACCCTCATCAGTTGCCCCCTAGCCCCTGGTCACGAGGATTATGTCATCTCTGACCTAGGGTTAAAATTATCTTTTTTTCGAGTTTGACATTTATTTCTGTGTGTGGCAGACACACTTGTTTGCCGGCCTTGATCTGATCTAGGCTATGCTAATGTACGCTGGTCGCAATCGGATGTTTTCCTGCCCACATGTCACCAAAGGGTGAGTCTAATGGTACGGTTTCCTTCGCGTGTCCTGTCACTTGTCTGTCACAGCTTAAATCTTGTGTATAAAAGGGGGGAAAACTCTTTGCCTTTCCCACTTTGCGTTTTTTGAAAACTTCTCCTTACGTCTTCTTCTCTCCTTTTTTGGCTCTCAAGGCGTCCTGTTGCAGGCTTTTGGCGAGTTAGGTCTCTTGCGTCTCTGGTTTCCTTCTGCTTCTAGCGTCCT